CCCTCGCTCTTCCAACATTCAATGGATTCTATTTGCCCTATTGGGTCGCGGTGTGCCACTCAAATCTCTTCTCTTCTCACTCCTCCCTCACCTCTTCAACTTCAGGTATTCTCTTCATTCATATGCCTTCTCAACCCTTTTTATTTTTCCTCTTTGTTCTTGATTTTTCTCATTTTCACTCATCAGGAATATTATCACAACCTTTTGTCTGCAAGGCAATGCAGTGGTATCACAGTCAAACAGGATGTCAACTTTGGAAAAGGTATTCTCCTTTTAAATATACTCTTTTAAAAACACAATTTTTTACTGAAATTTATTGAAAATCACAAAATTTAACGGGTGTTACACCCTATTTAATGAATATCTTTTATGATTTTGTATCAATAAATATTATCCAGCAAGTGGGAATTTAGAGATTGTGTTGATTACACTCCTTTTTGTTTTATGAGTTTAATTTCTATACATTCAATGCAATTTTTACACTATCAATCAATCAATCAGAAATCATCTTTGTTACAATTATTGTAAAAGTCAATAAAAGTTGGTAGAAGTCAATACGTGACAATTTGTGATTGAATGACATAATGAATTTACACTACTACTCTTGTTTTCACACAAATTTATAGTATGTGTTTGTTTTGCAATTGGAAAACTACAGGTTTATACGCAGACAAGGACTTCAAAGAGGGGGAACTTGTTCTAAAGGACCCCATGTTTGTAGGGGTTCAACATTCCCTCAACAAGGTTTACTTTTATATTCACAATTTTTGTTTGCGTATGCATATCAAAGCATTTTGCTCATCTCTCTTATTTTCCGCCTTGTTTTGCAGATTGATTGTTTGGTTTGTAGCTTCTGCTTTCGTTTTATTGGTTCCATAGAACTTCAAATTGGAAGGAGGCTTTACATGCAGCAACTAAGGGCCAATGAGAGTCATGGTTGTGACGTGGGAAGCTCTTCAAAACACTGCCATGACATGGATTCATCTGATGAAGAGGAGAGCACCCAGCAATGTACTTCTGGTAGTTCCAAAACTAAAGTTCCTCTCCCTGAAGGTGTTGTGGAATCATTGATGAATGGTCAATTGGTGTTGCCTTGCTCCGAGAAGTTCTCCTTGCCACCAGCTGTTCCATGCCCTCGTGGATGTGGAGAAGCTTACTATTGCAGGTAAGGCTATGGTTGCTCGAATTAAAAATGTAGAGTTTATATAATGCTTTTGTTTTGTCAATTTTTCCTGCCAAGGAGCGGGAATAAATGATTACTGTGAAAAGTTTTGTCAAGTTGGTCAGAAATGAATGCTACATGAGGATCCAAACTCCAATACTTGTTTCTTCTCATTTAAATATTTAAAAGAGTGATACTGATCATAGGTTGATAGTCTGACACTGTTACTTTTCAGTGACAAACTGACAACTTACCTGTAAACATCCTCTTTGTATAAAACAATAATATAAGAAGAAAGTTACTTGGAGCATTATTTTGGTACATCTACTGCAGGCATTGGATTGTGATAAACTTGAGTAAGCACACTGAATTATGTATTTATCACTGGAAAAAATCTGGTTTTTTAGGCCAGAATTACGGTACAAGATATAAACAACACAAGGTTCCCTCTAATTAGGAGTCTCCTCCTTCTGCATTGATTAATTCATAAAGTTTCACGCCAATCTATAACTGCATAAAGACAGAAATAATAAACAAAAATTGTAATTCAGATCCATAACTACCTAAAGACACAAATACTACACAAACATTAATAATTAAGGCTTACTTAGTCTTAGTCTGCTTCTTATCCTTTCTCACATAAACTTAATGGTTATCAGGTTGATAAATAGAAAAGAAAAACTTTGATCCCTTAAAGATTTGCACATTGTTTTATGTACCCAATTCTACAACAGAATAAGGTAGCTCTATTACTATTGTTCTCTGTTTAAAAAAAAAATATTCTGATGAAAGCTGTTCTTAACTGAAGCTTCCTGTTGTTACTGGGATATTTGTTATTGCATTGTTGAAGTCATTCTATTGCATTTGAAGTATGATATAATCTCTTCTGATGGCGTAGTCAATACCTGTAGCATGTCATGTGCAGAGGCTGATTGGGAATCCTCCCATTCTTTACTCTGTACTGGTGAGAGTTCTGATCCAGCTCATAAGGAGGCACTCCTTAAATTCATCAAACATGCTAATGGTAAGACTGCTTCCTTATGGGCATGAATCATTTTTAACAATCTAAAATTGCCCTGTACCTTTTTGCTTCATTTCTTGCTTATTTATCTCTTTCCTTTGTCTCCCAGAAACAAATGATATATTCCTCCTTGCTGCAAAGGTAAGATTTAATTTTTCTCTGAATTTCATATCTATTGAGTGCTGCTTGAAAAATCCACATGCACATGTATGGTGTTTATGCACTTATATCTGATAACATTACCGGGTATTGTTATCATTAGAGTTCAATAAGGATTACTGCGTAGTAAATGCTGATGCATCAATGAAATTAAATAGAGGAAACAATCTGTTGAAAATCTTGCTTTCATAGGACATTGCTTCTTCCTCAAAATCTTATGGTCCTTCTATCTAGTTAGTTTACATATCCTTTTTTTATTCTATCTAAGCTAGCCTTTAATTTGACACTAGCCATAGACATGCGTGTATTTATAGATGCTCAACTTATTAGAAATACTATTTTCATTAGTCTTGCATGAATCATGTCTAGTAGATTTATCTGACCAGAAGCCTGGTTGGATTTTTTGACCAGGCAATTTCTTCTACCGTATTAAAGTACCACAAGTTAAAAGAAGCCAGTGTTGAAGAGCAAGTGAAACACAATACATCATGTGTTTCTAACCACAATAAATTATCTTTTCTTTTGGAAGCTTGGAAGCCTATATGGATGGGACACAAGAGAAGGTAGTTACTAACTATTTTTACCTGTCTACATGAAGCCTTAATGCAGAGAGCTCATGCTTTCATAATGTGTGATGAATATTTTTTGGGGAACAGAATTTGATAAATATGCGTGATTCCAGGAATACACTGCACCATGGTTTCTAGTAATAAAGGTTTTTAAAATATTTGTGATATATATGTTGTTACATCACATATTCTTGTGTTGCAGGGTTGTTGAAATTGTATACTCTTCATTGAGCTTGAGAAAATCCATGATATATGATTTGGTCTTTATTGTTTGTTTTCCCCTGTGCTATTGTTAAATTATCCATTTTACCAAACTGTTTGGAGTGTGAAATAGGTTCTTTATAAATTATGAGACCTCTAACTGAAAAAAGCATCATTTAGGTTCTTTTTGGTTAAAATATTAAACTTCTATTTATTATCTTTGTTTCATGCCAGCATAGTTCTCATTTCATCAAACTACTTTGTAAAACTGATCTAATAATATATCAACTTCATTGATCAAAATAATTAAGTTGATTTAGTTTTCATATCATTCAAATATGCTACTTTGAGAAATAGAATACTATGATCTTATTAATTTTGGTGTTGAACATTGTAGTATGATTTTATTTGAACTATATAAGGCAAGTCACTTCAGTTTATTTGTAGGTGGTGGGATTGTATTGCTTTGCCAGATGATGTTGATCCTTCTGATGAAGCATCATTCAGGTTGCAAATAAAAGAGTTGGCATTTGAGGTGAGATTCTTCCGAGAGTGCATAGTGGGAAAATTTATTTTCACTGTTTTAATATGGTATACCCAATTTTGATGCTAATTGATTTGATATTTCAGTCTCTCCAACTTCTTAAGACAGCCATATTTGACAAGGAATGTGAGCCATGTATCCTTACAGATGCTGATTATATGATGTGTTCATTATGTGTATGCCCAGTGACAGTCTCATCATTTTCTCTGAAATTTTAGCTCTAAATCCTTGACCATTTCCAGTATTCTCCCTTGAAATCTATGGGCATATCATCGGCATGTTTGAGCTGAATAATCTGTAAGAGCTTACTGTATGGGGCTTTGTTTTTGTTCTGTTCTTCCTAGCCATGTTATGTCTTGTTTGCTTCCATTAAAGCAATGTTTGAATATTACAATATAGTTATAACCATTGAGTTAAACTAAGTATTAGAATTAGATTTTAAATTTTAGATTATACTGATTTGTGTCCTGGAAACAGCCTCTCCGCTTGCGGGGGTAAGGCTGCGTACATCTACCCTCCCCAGACCCCACTAGGTGGGAGCCTCGTGCACTGGGCCGCCCTTTACTGATTTGTATATTAATTATGAGTTTATATTGCCAGGGATTTGGTTGTAGCTTCTCCCGTGGAGGATTACTTTTTATATATCGATGATTTGACATATCCTAATAAGGTTAGAATTTAGTTTGCTTGATTTACTGCATTATCCCAAAAAGACCAAGCTTCTTTTTTTAATTTTTTTAAAAACTTTTTTCTGACATTAATGGCAGGAAGAAGTTGAGAAAATTACGCAACCAATTCTGGATGCCCTTGGTGAAAACTATTCTATTTATTGTGAAGGTACTGATTTTATTATAATACTTGCAAAAAATAAGATCTACAAGTGGAGGAATAGGTTGGAAGCAAGGAATCAATTGACATTATTCAATACAACAGAGCATTAACTGTAGTTAGTTAGCTTGTATTTTGGCAATAGCAATTTGGTTGTTGGGAGAGATAAGGGTCTGTCAAATACCCTTAGGAAGTAACCATCGTATCATCTTCCACTTCTCAATCACATTGATCATAATGCAGCTAATGAATAATATAGTACAATTTCATTTCTGTTCTATCATTTTCTTCTATCTCTGGTCCAGTATCATTTTACTCGCTGCAGTTTGTACGGTGACATCTGCAGACAATTCCTTTCTTAATATTGAGCTGTCTTATCATTGCTGAAGCTCATGCTGTGTTTTTGTTTTGTTGTCTTAATGCAAGGCGATCTTCAAGTTAAAAGTGTTGCTTGATAGGTTTTGTTTGATGAGTGGTTAGAAGTTAGCCTTTGATAGACTAATTAAGTAATTATATCATTTGGTTTTGGGTGAGAGAGCTATCTGCTCTTCAACATATGACAGCTAAAATCTCTGCCTTCCTCAACCCTACTAAAACAGAAATTAAATGAACGGGAAATTATGCACTGTTCCTAGAATTTATTAAGTTTTACTTTCAGATGTAATGTGTTGAAGTTTTATTTGTGATTGCTATATTTCAATATCATTCTGACTCTCCAAAGTAAAGCATAATAGTATTACCTAACTGATCATAGGAACAATGCATTTTCATTTGTTAGGACTTGAGATATATCCTCATTCATTTTGATCATTATATTTAAATGCTGAGTAATAAAGTTGAATTTTATTTTAGGAACTGCATTTTTTCCTTTGCAAAGTTGCTTGAACCATTCCTGTTGTCCTAATGCCAAAGCTTTCAAAAGAGATGAGGTATGTGGGGCAAAACTATCTTTATTTTATTTACTATTTGATTTGGTTTGAGTTGTTAGCATACTTGGCTTCATTTGATGCCCCAAAGATTATGATTAAAGTAATTTTCTTTGGCCTTGTATATATTATCTTGTTTCTATTTTAACAAGAAAAAGAAAATGAGAATTCCTGTTATCCATGTGGCTGCCTTGTGTGTTTACAAGATCCTTTTGACCTTTGATTGGTTGAAGTTCTCGTTCCGTGCTTGCTTTGTTAGTAAGCATGTGGCTTTTTCATACTATATATAATATTGTTAAGATGTGTGACATTAACTAAGAATATGATTAGAATACTCCTTATAAGACTTGAAGTTGAACAATTCTCTTTCCTAGAGTTGGCCTTTAAGAGTAAGTTATTAATCTTAGTATCAGCTGCTTATTTGGTGTTCACATCATTATTAAATTCACAATTATTCCTTTTTATTGTATTCAACACGTTTTGTTGTACTTAGACTGTCTAGATTCTGTTCATGTTGCTACTTTTTGGTTCTAACCTTGAAAACAAACAGGGCATTTTTAATCCCTCTGCTTTAGTGCTGTGTGTAACATTGAATCTAAAGATTTATCTTTAAAACCTTGCATATTTTGCTTGCAGGATAAAGATGGCCAAGCAACAATAATTGCGCAGAGGTCCATTTGTAAAGGAGAAGAGGTTGGTTTATAGTTTATACTTAATACCAATATCTAATAGACCAATAACTTCTATCTAAATAATTTTACTAAGAATATGGTTTTGATACTACCCAATGATGGATGATGTTTATGACACCAAGCTTGAAAAAAAGACAGGATATATGGAATTTTTTACCATATTAAATTTATAATGTTTTTGGATACATTGCCATGTTCAACTAATTAACATCTGGAAGGACTTTCAGATAACCATCTCATATGTTGATGAGGACCTTCCATTTGAAGAGAGACAGGCATCCCTAGCAGATTATGGTTTCAGATGCAGGTGTCGAAAGTGCATTGAAGAAGAGCCATAATGTTATGAGTACTTGTAAAAATTCATGCAGAACTCAAGTGTTTTATAAGACAATGAGGCTTTCTTAACTTAGTTGATATGCAGATAAAAGAACTGAAATGGAATTGAAAGGGAACAATTATTAGGGAATTTTGTAGCTGTTTTGTTTTTTGAGTCCACAATTACCTGCACGCCACACTTGTTACACCATCAGTTATTTTATATCTATAGCAACAATAGGAATGTATTAGAAGAAAGATATATACCCGACTCTTGAGACTATTGATCATTTTTAAACTGATCTTGTTCTCTTGATCGTTAAACTATTTTCTTTTTCACTACTGGTTTTCTTGCATTTGCTTCGTAAGCAGATAGTCATAAAATTTATATGGCTGACTAGTTGCGAAAATGTTGTTCACGTTATATGTAAAAATCTTATTTAAGACATGAAACTTGTTTTGTTAAATTCAATTATATTAAAAATATTAAATTTTATTGATTTTCAAATAAAGGAGTGCATGATGAATATTTTGTAAAAATGAGTTACTTGATAAAAGAGTATAGGATGAATGTTTTGTAAAAATGAGTTTAACAAGTAACTAAAAATTTTTAGAAAAATTAATTGCTTTTTGTTTTTTGGATGTTCGTGAGATCTATTTTACTTGAATTAGATTGAATATTTTTTAAATTATAGAAGTATTATATATTCTAGTTCGAACCAACTCATTCCTTTGAGGACTGTAACATCAAATCATTCCACTAAATTTATTTATTGTTGAAATTGCATTGGAATGATCGCTACCGCAATTAATGGTTAGACATACTGTGTACGTTGTTCATTTAACAAAGTTTGTTCGCCTTTTGTTTTTCCCCTTAGAAAAAGACAAAATAGTTCATTCACCAAATGATAGATGATATTAATCAATAATTAATTAATAGATAACCAGGTAAGATTTCTGATCTAGAAAAAACAACTTTTACGGAATACAACATCACAAGTACCACTTCAATTAGCAACTTCCTAGACTGGACTGGGTTGCTTTTGCCTTGTATCAAATTCTCTGTCGTTTGAATAGTTTCAAATAAATAAAATAAGCACTTATCTTCAATTAAACAAAAAATGCATTGAATTGAGAATAACAGTGAAAAAGTACATAAAAACAACTTAACATACATTTACTCTGCTGTGGTTAGCTCAAGAAATTCTGCTTTTATTACAAGAGCATGATCTACCAGTGGAGTTGGAAAAAAGAATAACAAAGGAACCCATTTATTCCAACACACACAGAGCATGGCATGGCATAAATAACCAAACCCAAAAAATAAATCACAAAGTTTTACTCAAGAAGACAATATTATTGGCTATTTACAAGTGCACAATGCTTCCTTATCTCTCCTTCTGTCCCTGTCTTCACTTTAATTCTTCCCATTTTTTCCATGGAGGTGGCAAACTCAGCAAAGAAATTTTCAAGTGACCCTTGAAGCAATTGTGTCACTTCAGACTTTGTAACTGAGTTTGTCAACAACGCAGCATCTGACTCAAATAGCCCCCTATTCTTAATCACTTGCCTATAGTAGCCAAGATCAAATGTCTTGCGACTTCCAGGATCCATCTCAATTTTTGTGGTGTTGTCATTGATGTTCTTGCACTTGAACCTTTTCAGATTTGCAGCATATTCACTGTCTAGTGAAGGGTCTTGATCACCCTTGCCAGTAAAATTGAATAAGCGGTTTGATAATGATGAGCAATGAGACACACCAATTGTGTGAGCACCTGAAACAATTTTAACTCTTGGTGATTACAAGCACAAGAACAATGCATAATTCATACCAGTTTGTTGGATTTTTTGCTCAGAAGAAAAAGTGTAACACAAAAATCAAATACTAACATCATTTTAAACTTAAAATACAAACTGATAGTATATTTAAGTCTAAATGATAAGAGTGAAATCTTTATATTTATCTAGACAACGTCCTAAAGATTTAAAACATAATAAATTGCAAAAAATTAAACTACTCATTTTCATACTACAGATTTTTTAAGTACATTTTCAACAATAATGCTGAGGAAATTGTTTAAGAAATGGTACCAGAGAGCAGGACCAAGTCTTTCAAATCAAGTCCTTGGTTGGAAAAGAGTGTTTGTAGGGTGGTAAAGTTGTGAAATGGAGCAGGAAT